TTAATCTTTTATTCAGGTAACACTTTAAAAGTTTACAAGACAAGAGTCTTTTGTTGTACAACATCCCTGCACATGCAGAATTAAATAGAATGCATTGCAAACCACATTCTATCAAACTGACGTCCTCGTAAAATGTTATATAATAGAAAGTTTGCGAAGGCTTGGTGTTGTCAAAAGGAACATTTCGCACCAGGTGTCCTTCATAGGATAAAGAATACGACAAATTTCTGAAGACGCTAAGAAAAAGGCATAGAACACAAATATTGAACATTTTCTCAAACGAATACTATTTAGAGGTATATGCGTATCTCAGTTTACAATCTAGCCAAGTGAAATTGAGGAATTAAATATTTATAAAGAATAAAAAGAAATTGGTTATATCGACAAGGGATTTTTTTATCTGGATTACATAACAGGGTAACATCAATAAAAATACGCTCAAATAGCAATTTCTTGCACTTTTCTGATGTATTAAAATGGGAAAATTAATAATGCATAAAAGTAATCAAAATATATAAACAACTTTATAATTAATTTTCCACTAAGAGTGTTGGATCAGAAGAGAAAATAACTACTTACAGTTTTCTTGAAAATAAATTAAAAATTAATTACAGAATTTAGAGTAACTAGACACCGATTTCAATTATATGTCTAACAAGATGAGTGTTCTAAGAAATTAGGCTTTAAAAAACTGGCTAAAATGGGTGCAACATATCGGCATTTTAGACTATTGTATTATTTTCTTTACTTGATAGTAAAATATTTCTTTAATTCTTTTTTGTACAAAAAAACCTATATTTTATATTATAAAACAAGCTGCATCAATTCCTTATCAATGTATGACTAAAAAACTTAACTTAAGAGGGCTGAATGGTTGTGGCCACTTTAAGCCATTTTTTAAATTTCCTTTAGAAGAGGAGCTCCATGTAGAGATGTACAAAATTGATCAAATTTAAAGCCTAAAATGTATGAAATTTTCTTTGCCAAATGACAGCTTAGGATACAAATAGCCTATCTAAAAATGTGATTTATATGTGGTTAATTTGCTGACCCCAAAGTCACCCGCGTGGCGCAGTGGTCAGAGCGTCTGCTCTAGAGTCGCAAAGAAAGGAGTCAATCCTTACGTCGCGGGTTCGAATCCCACTGTGGGATGTGAAGACCGGTCCTTCGGATGAGACCGTGTAAACCGAGGTCCCGTGACGCAGTAGGTGCTGGCACGAAAAAGATCCCGCCCTGCTCAATAGCCCTGAGTGCCGGGTATAGGAAAAAAATTTGCAGCTCTCCACCGGCAAGTGGTGGCGTCTCCATATGAGTGAGAAATTATCGAGAGGGACGTTAAACAATATACAATCAATCAATCTACATTAAGTTAAAAAAGTAATGCAAAATAAGTGAAATATGAGAAGATAACAAACAGTATTGGATATCAAAGTCCATAAAACATTACAAAATAGGAGCGAAGCAAACACGGACCTCCAAAACATTAGAGATGTGATCAAATGCGACGGAGGACTGAGCATCCCCTGCTGACCATTCACATCCGTCGTGTGATCCCTGTCAAAATCGGGAAATATCGGGAAAATCCGTCGTCAATTATTTGTGTGTTCTTAATGGATTAACGATTAATATGAATTTGCTGACAAGGTCATTATAACGACCATAGAACTTAAGAAATGAATACTTGACGAGACTGCTGATATAATTTGCATCAGGATGGATGTGTAATGCTGTCTTGATTTTATTTTCAGATGAGCTTTTTTGTAAGGGATTCTCCACCTTGTGGTGACCTATGCTTCATATAGTGATAACTTAATAAAAGATGATACAAAAAATCCCTGGATTGGTGTATATTTTTGTTGCAAATGATGTAAATTGTATTTTCAAAATTCTAAGAAATTGTAATCATAATGTCTCATAATGTTCGACTTTATATCTATCTACAACCATCCCTATTAATCTTTACAAACATTTTTCACTTAAAATCTTATTATTGTGAAAATTTGAACGAAGAATTAAAAACTACGCAGTGAAACTTGTTCAGTTTACTCATTAAAGCATGAATCGAAATGTATCTTTTAAAGTTTTTGACAAGACTTAGTTTGAATCATCCGTCCTTCAATAACACATTATTTTCCCGAGATGTCCGTAACAAACCTATTATTTCCCCACAACTGCGAAATTCACACAGCTGAGTGGTTCAAGAACTACATCATGCATAAATAATTAGCAAATGATTTTTAATACAAGTGATCTTGACAGGAAAAGCCTTGCATTTGCCTGTATATATTTTTTGACGCTTGGCTTACAGTACTTTAAGCAGTTCCAAATAATTTTTATTAAATTATTAAAATTTTGCGAACAGAAATGTTTCTGTTTCTAATGATTCTTTACATAATTGAAGCTTAATGTATTGTCCAAACTGTGAACGAAATAGCGAGATCAAGAACTCCGTCTTTCTTACCGTGCCCAGGCTTTATGTTTACAACCGCAAGCGCTTTAGTGACCTTAATTAACAATAAACACGTGCTATCTTGAGAGTAACGACGTGTGTTGAAACTGTTGTAAGGTATGTATTTTATTAACGATATGTGAATGAAACACTGATGTATCTTCTATCTCATGAAATTTTGGTTTCGTTAAAAATACGACATCACTGTATACAAAGTGCTAATCGAAAATCTACTTGATTTGGATCACTAGCTATATTGATTTGGGTACTCTGATGCATTATGGGTAAAAAAGAAAATTCTGCAGGTAAAATATGGATAAAAGTACATTTAAGAAATTAAAAAAGTTATTAAACCTTTATAGAATCAATGTAAATTTATTTTAGAAAATTTTAAGTTGAAACAAGTTAGAAATTCGATACCATTCTCATTTACTAAGTTAAAATGGGAATTTCGCTCATTTCGCATTATTTCAATTGTTTTTAATTTTTTCAAACTATATTCTGTTGTAAAAGTTATTGTAACTTAGTTTTCGCCTCAATTCATCCACCAAACATCATCTGATTTCTATAAATTACGTTTTTTAGAGAAATTGGACTATTCTTGGTTTGAGTGAATGCTATGCTATGTTTGCAACATATTTTTGCGATGGCTATACTTTTTTCGGATCCTTTTTGTGATTTGCATGAAATTAAGATTTATTGTTTTTTGTTAAAATTATCGCGATTTAAACAGTTTTGTAAAAGGTATTGGCATTTATTATCACAAGAGAAACATTTATCAGTCGAAAGAAGTGAAACAGAAATAAATAAATATAGAATTTGATGAAATGTGCTACCAGTGCTAGTGTTTGTGCGATACTTGATTTGCGTTTTGTCAAGATTGATACAGAAATGCTATGTTTGATTTGAGTAAAATACTTCTTCAAGAATGAAGCCGTATATAGGGGGACTATAATCCAAGACACTGTCTCAAGTTTATTTCATTAAATAACTTATTGATAAATACACGTAAAATATTTTTACTTATGTTTTAAAGGTATGTAAAAAAGGCAAAAAGGGCTTCACAAACTAATCGAATTTTTTCCAAAGCTCATGATAGGCGTAAGACTGAATGCGTTAACCACAATATGCTACGGTGTCTTCTTCTTGTTTGTGTGTCAGTTTGCTTAAAAAAGAAACTAATTTGTTGAGATAGATAAGGTTAAAATAAAAAGATACTAATCTGTTGAGACAAATAAGGGTTTTCAACCTATCATTTAATTTGTCTTGGTTCGGTTTTTTTTTTTTTTTGGCTTACTTCTCTCACCAAACTGTTAGACCTTTGTTTTTATACGTAATTTAATTACGAAATGTATTTAATTTATTTTTTTAAAAGAGCAATAAGTAACGTCAGGTGTGTGTGTTTGTACTCTCCTAAGTAACTTACTAAGAGGTCACACTACTTTTTCTATAATTCATATAAATACATATCTATCACACTCACCGATTGAACATAAAATGCTCAAGATGAGCATATGACACATGGACCTGTAGTCCTACGGACTGGGCCATTGTTGAAATGTAAGAGGAGTGTGGGGAAGAAACTATTGTACAGTACTGCTGTAAACACAACGTAACGTCAATAAATTATTTTACTAATTGCACCAGGCCTAAATGCTATATGTATACTCGAAAAAAGTATAGCTGTCATGACAACAAAGATAGCTTTCTGGATATTTTCTACGCAAACATAATATAGCTCTGGAAAAGTTGGGTAGGTGCATATTTGATGTAATTGCCAGATTATTAAGAAGACCTTGTCGTCGAATTTGATAGCTTACGTTTGATAATGATTCATATTAAACATTACAATAAATGTTTTATTGAAATAATGTCAACAGTCCATTCCAGAGGATGATTAGTCGAAAAATGACCATTAGATGCGTGAAAAACGCGTGCTACCGATGTTTATGGAGGGGTAGATGAAACAAAAATATGATTATCTTTAAATATACCAAGAAGAAGTCTCATATTGTTTGAAGTAGTTTTATTATCAGTAAGAAAACGAATATAAAAGCACATTTTTTGTCTAAATGTGCAGACAGAAACTTCGAATGACCCAAACAAATATAGCTAGTGATCCAAATCAAGTAGATTTTCGATTAGCACTTTGTATACAGTGGACATAAATCCAAAAAAAGAGCAATATTCACAACATCCCATTTTAAGCAGTTCCGAATATTAAGCATGGAAGGGGTTTTCTCTAAAGAACTGGTACAAACGAACAAGAGAAGCATAAACAAAAAGTCAGAAACATGAATTCATTTTACATTCAGAGTTTTATGATAAATTATGTTGATTTGAAAAGGCTGAGAAAGTATTATAGTTTTCAAAGTCTTGGCTTTAACTATCCCCCCTCGAGTCTCTCTCTCGCTCTCTTTCTCTCTCTCTCTCAGTTCAATAAAATTGAAGAAAAAAACTGTATAGAATGAACAATATCATTAAATTAAACAGTTAAGATTGAGTGCATTTATTAATTTTCAGTGTTTGCAGCAATTGCTATATATCAGCCATGGGAAGAAAAAAGAAAACTGTTTCAAATCAAAAGGCAATAAGAATTAGTCCTGCAGCTAAGGCAGCAGAAACTGTCACCAGAAAATATAAAGCTGGTAGAAAATATCCTAAATCTCCATCAAAGAGGACAAAGAGTGAGAAGAGCACTCTATGATATCAAAACAAATAAGGTAACCATTACTCATTCTGCTGCGAAACACAAGTTATCTTATGGGTTTTTAAGAAGAAGAATATCTGGTGAAGTTGAATTAGACAGTAGAGTAGAAATGGACCATCAACAGTGTTCAGTGCAAAGGAGGAAGAAGCTACGGCAAAATGGCTTAGTGAAATGGCTGAGAGGGGCATGGGCTTTAAACCAAGTGAATTTTTGGATTTTGTTGAAACTGTAGTCAGAAGAGAAAATAGAAAGACACCATTTAAAAACAACAGGCCGAGCTATGACTGGTATTACAAATTTATGTCAAGAAATTCTCACATAGTAAAGACTAGAAAAGAAACTCCACTAGAGACATGTAGAGCAAAATTAACAAAGGAGAAAACTGATAATTGGTATTCTAAATTCAAGATTTTTCTTACTGAGAAAGGACTGATTGACAACCCAGGGCGAGTATGGAATGCTGATGAGACTGGTTTTAGTGTAGGCAGCATAGCTGGGAAAATCATAGGCCCTAACAAGAAAAGCCAAGTCCCACATGTGGCTGGTGGACACAGCAAACAGAGGTTTACTGTTATGTTCTGTGGTGCAGCTAATGGGCAAATGATACCACCTTTTATCATTTTTCCGGAACCAAAACCCAATGGGTATAATCCTTTGACAGGGGCTGTGAAAGACAGTGCAATTGCATACACCAAGAAGGGTTTGATGGATTCTGCAACATTCAGAATTTTCCTAGAGCATTTCAACACTTATGCAGGAAGTGAACGACCTGTAGTGCTTTTATTTGATAGTGTTAGTAGTCACATTGACATGGCAACTTTTGAACATGCTAAAAAATGTGGAATAGAGTTATATCGTCTATTGCCAAATGCAACCCATGTCATGCAACCTCTTGACAAGGGTGTGTTTGGCCCATTTAAGGCAAGATGGCATCAAGTAGTGAGAACGCACACTCGTGAAAATCCAGGGTAACCAGTTGGAAAAGACAACTTAGCTGAAAAAAACTTAAAGAAGCATTTCTACTCTTCTACAAGCCCTTAACTGTTATAAACAGTTTTAAATCCTCTGGAATTTATCCTGTAGATGGAAATGTCATCTCAGAGGACCAGCTGAAGAGTGGTTTAACATTTGACAATACAATGACTGATCATACCTCACCTACAACAGCAATACCTGAACAATTGGCAACCCAAGAAAAACAATTCACAACAAAGGAGATTACAGAAGATGAAAAGATGAAGATTTCATTTGAGGCCTTTCAGAGTGTGTTAAACACACCAGTTCGAGAAAAGTATGAAAGACGGATGAAAAAGGGATATGACATACAAGAAAAATCACCAGGTTTTGATGCATATCAGAAATTGTATAAGAAATCACATCTACTTAACAGTCCCAATGAGGAGTCTCATCCTGAGATACTATCAGGACTAGAATTGCTAGTAGTGAGGATCACACAGACCAGTGTTGTACTAGTATTAGTACAAGTACTGGTATATCTCCCGTGTTAAAGGACATGTTAACATTTCCTCATGTTCAGGACTCTAATAAGAGAAAGAGAATATCTATTCAATCCATTTTGCCAGACAATTTAACATCATCTGAATCCCTCCGATTGATGGATTTAAAAGATTTGGAGAAGATTGGAAATTTTGCAACAAAGGGAAAAAAAAGCTAATGCCATTTTCATAAAGAAGAAATTGTCAGTGAAAACAAAAAGCCGTAAAAAGTCTTAGATTTCAAGCAAAATCAAGACTGCAGAAAATGACGATGTCCAATGCATTGGATGCCATATGTCGTGGAAAGAGGATCAGGAAATTGGAGCTGGAAATATCTGGATCCAGTGCGATGTGTGTCAGAGCTGGATACATACTGAATGTTGTGGAACCACCATTTCCGATTCAGAGTCGGTTCTTTTCCTTTGTCCCGCATGTACCTAAATACATAGAATGTTTTTATACCTTCATATACATTTATAAAAACTTAATCTTAATCATGGATAAAACAACATGTATATATCTGCGTGTTTGTTATGAAATGATTGCAAAGTAATTTTTGAAAATTAATTTTTCAGAAGACGATTCCAAAAGAAAGATCAGAAGTGGACGTTAATTTGAATTTATCACAACAATGTAAGGATGTTCAAAGTGAAAAGAAACATTTTTTATTAGAAAACTGTGTGATAAAGGGTTATCATCATTTCCAGATTAGACCACCTGATAGGGATCCTTGCACAATGCTGCCAGTGGACAGAGAGTATACAAATGTCCACGATCCTAATGCATGTCTCATTTGGATACATGTACCACCACTTGATGGTTTCAAGCAAGAACTTTATGAAACCACCACTGATCCCAAAAGAGGGTTGCTACTGAAAGATGTAGCAGGCCTTCCGATAGGTCATGTGCCGAAAGGTTTGTCCACTTCTTTCGGATAATTCTGGATGAAAATGGAGAAATTTATGCAGAGGTTACGGATGATCCAATGCCTAGTTTTACCCCATGGCCAGCTCCATCAGAATGTGGTGGAGGTGTTGTGATTCATTGTACATTTCATATTTATCATGCCAAGAAAACATTTGTAATGAATTTGTTAAGAGAATCATTAATAAATATGCCAGAGGGTGAGTACATAAGAGTACAAGAATTGTAAATTTATTAGCATGAAACCAAACATGGAATCAAACAGAAAATCTCCTTTATTATCCTTATATCTACTAAAGAAAGTTGTTATCTGTTTAATCATATCAAAATATTGTTTTCCACTGCATCACGTAAGCAAATTAAATATTTGATATGAAGATATATGAGCCTCTAATTTTCATTAGTGCACCTCTATGGACAAACTTACATTTTAAATTCCCCATCATAAATATGGCTGGGGCATATTATATGTATAGTTTTATCATGTCCGTCATCTGTCCTCCCGTCTGCATGTCAATCTGTGACACTTTGTGTTTAAAGCTCAGTTTTAAAGAATTTTTTCAAACATTTTTATCAAACTTAATTCATTTGCTGACACATATAGTAATAGGTATTTAACTGCATCATTATACCCCCCGCTTGAAAAGCGGGAGGGTATATAGTAATCGTTAATTCCGTCCGTCCGTCCGTCTGTTACCTGCAAGTGTTATCTGCAACTCCTCTTATACCATTGAATGAAATTTGATGAAACTTTCACAGAATCTTTATTACATACTGACATTGTGCACCTCCTATTTTACTTTTTGATCCGACACATATTTTGGGTTTTCCAGCCACAGCAGAACATGGACTTTACCATTATTACTATATGGAGGCGGGGGGTATCATTTAGTGAGCTCATCGCTCACAGTACCTCTAGTTTTTTTTTACCTTGACCTTTTTTTCTTAAATTTGCAGCTTTCTAATTAACTTTCAAACAAAAAAAACCTATTCAATCAAGATATTTTTATGTAACTTAACATAATTTGGTGAGAATTTTTCAACTGTGTACATTTTTTTTTTACATTGACTTTCCCTATGGGCTTCAATTTTCTCATCTATTGTGTATACAACTGAGTTATATAGAAAGTATTCAAGTTAGACCTTTTTTTAAAACTTAACTCACTATATATTAAAAGCAAAGTTTCATGTTGCATTCAAATACAAGTGCATGAACTTCACTTGTATTTGAATGCAACATGAAACTTTGCTAACTTAACTGATGAACCATGTAAGGGGCATTTTTCTCCTAAGGACATACATATATGTATTTGTATTTTTTTTGTATGAAATGAACAACAATCCTGTGATTATATTTTTTATTGTGATGATTTTTTTCTAGTCTTTTTCAATGCAATTTTTTGATTTTTATTGTGCCAACTGCCAAGATATGGTTTTTCCTATTTTTTTTTAAATTTTAGGTTTTTTTTATCCTTAATAAAGTTGTTGAAATATGATCTTTTCTTCTTTTTAAATAATATTCCATTTTCGAGCTCAGGACTAAGAAATTATTGTCCATATAACTTAGATCTGATTGTTAAAAATGAATTTTGAGACGATCCTTGTTGTTACAACTATAAATAACACCGATAGGTGGCGAAAACTGGAACTACTTGAAATCTTCTAAACTGCTTGAACTCCAGTATATTTTAATTGGAAAACTTTGATAATTAAGTATAACATTTTAAACAAACTATTAATATGGCTTGAAAGAGTAAATAAAGGACTATTTAATTCAGTGTAGAAATCAAACACAATCCTACATAAATAATTTTCCCGTTACAATCCGGAACTGCTTGAATCACTGTATCTAACTTCCAAAGGCGTGGTAAGATTTTTGGAAATATCCCCTCAGAACAAATCCTAGCAATGCCAACATCTCGACTTTGGGCTAGGCAGTGCGATGTCAAATTCCGAGATGATAGACATTAAGGAAATACGCTTGTTGTGTATTGGGACACACTAGTAATGAAGTGTAACAACACGTGTGCAGGAACTATTTTTTTAATTGAATGAACATATAACAGTGAGAACCAATAACGTACACATAATATAGTTCCGGAATACATGGACATAACAACGCTACCCATTGAATACTTAACGAGGTATCACCCTTTGTCTACTTCTCACTATATTTTTGAAACTTTCTAGAAATCAGACAAAAAGTCCGCTCAAACGTTTCCATTTTCGCAACATTGTTCATCAAAATCAAAAACCGATGCACTCGTGTATGAATCTTTGTGTCGTCTACTTTTCTGCCAGTTCATTTACAGTAAAACTCGTGTATTACGAACAAGGATATAGCGAATTCACGGCTATAGCGAAGTTTTTCTGGGTACCCGGCAAAATTTCTTTACAAATCTTTGTAAAATTTTACGGTTATAACGAACTCTGATATAACGAATTCACGGATATAGCGAACTGATTTTGAGTCCCGTTGAGGTTAAATATAATGAAATTTACATCCTTTATAACAAACACCCAAAGATTATAAAAAATTGGTAAATTAAACTGACTCTAGTTCTGTTTAGCATTTGTATATAAAATCCAATTCATAATATAACCTTAGTTATCGAAAATATGTTTTTTAATATTTGCTTTCCTAACATAATTGGTAGTAATACCTGAAGGAAAACATTCATATTGCGAATTCGCTATAATGGTTATACGAATTCGTTATACGGATATAACGAACTATGGATATAGCGAATTAAATTCACAGATCCCCGGGACTTCGCTATAACCGAGTTTTACTGTATAATGTCAATGAAATCAGACCAAAACTGTAGCAGGAGTAGCATTTTAAATGAATTTCACATAAATTTCTTATTTTTTCGTTACCGTGTCAATAAAATTCACCGAAATCAGTTGCACTAGTTTATGAATCATACTGTAATCTACTTGTTTGCCAAATTATATTTAAATCGATGAAAAAAAAGAATATTACAGAAATTTTATTTTTAGGAAGAATGGCAACATCGTTTTTCGAAATTAAAGAAACGATGCGGTGTGTTATGTATCTTAATGTACCCCCCTTTTTTCAAGCGCGGGGCATACTAGTAATCATAGTTACATGTATACATGTACAACCTATAGAAGAAATTGGACAATTTTTATACATAAATGGTACCCCAAGTTATTCTATTTACTTGGATCATTTTACAATGCAGTGTATATAGATGTTCCTATTATTGCAAACACACACACATACACGGAAAAAATCAATTCTTATTTCATATTATGTTAATTAACATTGATATTTATGATTTGATTAAAATAATCTCAATTTCTTTAATTACTTATCATTAAAACACGTTGGGGCTAAAGTTCCGACTTTTAATACGACCTTTCGTAGAACTTTAAAGAATCTTGAAGCACATTGAGATGTATACAATGAAAATTGTTGTAAGACAACAAATTTCAAGCTTCATTTTGATAATTTTTGAGTTAAATTATACAGTTAAGTTATCCTTCCTGGCTGAGGATCGGAATACCTTAATCAACACATGTATGAAAAAGAAATTAAGCTGAATTATCAAATATAATCGGCCCTGTATTGACTCTTCGGTAGATTTGTGATTAATAATTCAGCTGCCCTGAAAATAAAAAAAAAAAAGATAGAAAGAATAATTACCCCCAGGGTTCACAAGCATTTTTATTCCGCTTTATATTCAATGAGTTCAATCAGTCAATATTATTTGATTAATATTTTAACTGCTCTATATCTGAAAAATAAAATTAAAGGATCGACAAACTATGGTTAATAAGCAATTCATCCCTCTAACTACCAATCATGAGTTCCCTCTCTGTTCAGCCTAGGAGCTCAGTATATAGTGTGCCAATGTACCTGTTGTCTATGTTTAGAATGAGGCCTTTGTTCCTAGTCTGTTTATTTCCTTACATGTCGGACTTACTGGGAGCATTACCGTGTCCTCCTTCAGGCTATTGTGAAATCAAATTAGAAAGAGTCATAGACTTCGACAATGCTATCATCACCGAATCCCCCTTTATCAGGGAAGAAATTTTGGACCTCGACCTACCATTATGTG